CGTGTTGAGTTTCTGTTGTGTGTGTGTGTTGTTTCCTTAGACGCTACTTGTTTTTTTTGCGGGGGTGCTGTTCTGTACGCGTGTGTTGGTTTTGTTTGTTTGGGCATCCTGGTATGATTGGTTGCACGCTTAGTAATTTGCGCGTCCGTCTGTTTCTTTATCGTTTGTTTGGTTGCGGATGTTCGTATTTAAATGTTTGCTTCGATGGCTTATTGATTGGTTGCTTGCTTGGTCTGATCGTTTTCTGCACAACGGGCCGGAACTAGGCTTGGACAGTGATGTGGCCTCTGAAGGGGGCGGCTAACTTGTGAAAGTGTTGCCTTGAGGTAGGATATCTTTGTCAATGCTCGGGCTGGAAGAGCGCCCCCTGTATGGCAAGGCTTCTATTCACGCAAGGCTTTTGCACTTGCTTTGGACAACGGACCTGCATAGTTTCAGGCCGACAGAAGCCATCGCATCAAATAATTCTGACTCAATGGCAAAAATTTCAATAACGCATAAAACAAAGTTAGTGGAACCTTGAGCTGGCCACCCCTGACCTTTCTTGGAAACCTCAAGAAAAAGAAAGATCGAACCGATATTAGTGGAAATCCATTGAAAGTCATCCTAGCCCTTCTCTACTCTAACGCATCACAGACTCCTTGTGGCAGAGCGCGACCTTGACCTACTGAAATTTCCGTTCAAGCTGCAACTTTCGAAGGGAAAAGGGGTTCGCAAACATTGGGGTTGAACAGCACGGCCGAGGGGTCCTGCAAAAGATTCGCAGAGCCGTTTTCGCGAAACCGCGCTGTGCCGAAGTTTGCCTTGCGGCGGCCTACTTCTCTTCTTGGCTTTCGCAGAGTGATTAACTTTCGGACGAAGCTGGGATGCGAGTGATGCTGAATGATGCGGCGTCCCTTCAAGACGGCAGGGTTTTGACAGAGTTGACTCGCTCAGCCAGACCGGCGCGAGATTCTACAAACAAAATTCGCGCCATGTCCGTCCGGGCCAACAAGGTGAAGCGCGCAGAACAGATTTGATTGTCCGGGGACCGTGTAGTTCCTCCCACACAATGTACCTCGGCTCTCTGCGTCTCCTTCTTTGCTGTCAAGCTTCGCGTCTCATTTTTCGCCTCAAGTGCATCCTCTTCATCAAGCTGCCTTGCTTGGCTCCTGCTTCATCAGGGCACGCGCCAGGATCCCCGCGCCCTGCGTTCCCGGGTTCCCCATCACACCATGAAATCGCGCATCATTGTTGGTAGCGACAATCGCGGGTCTATCAGCGTCCGTAGCTCAAATTCAGGGCCAACGACCCACTTCCTCTCCAGCTGAACCAATGCGCTCACACATTGATGCCCAAATGCGAACGGTCACGAATCGATCAAGTATGCGCTTGCGATTCTCGTTCACGGTTTGCGGTCGCAGCGCCAAATGATTCCGGCGCACAGAAAATGCGAACTTGAACACGTCGGTCCACCTTGCTCACGCAGATGGGCCTGGAGTGTCTTCGCCGTAGCATTCTTTGAGTTCTTCGATCTGAGGGGCATCAAACTCTTCAGCTTTGTTTCTGGCCGCCGGTTTGATTGTCCGCAGTCTCGCGATCTCTCTGCGCATTGATCATCTCTCTGATAGACTTCGCTCCTGTCGACACGCACCCGTGCAATTGAGCCACGCGCTGCTGTCTTCGTGTAGGTATGCGTTGGCTAGTCATCCTCCCCTGTTTTGGTCATGTCCCACCTTGCTTTGACGGGCCCGAACCTCAGCCATATCTTTTCGTCTGGAGTGGGGCTTTAGGCCACCGGCGTTGCTTTCGGCTTCCCCAACTCGATGTTGCCACTAGTGATGATCCACCAGACAGGTATCTGATCGTAGGGCATCTTGTCCTTGCAAATTGCCATACCCAGCCAATCCAAGTTGTTGCTGTTCACGAAGATGTCATGTTTTGCAGCCGCGTCGGCCATACATCTCAGCCCTTCCGATGCCTTCCGATGTACCGGTCAGCGACGCCATCATCTCTGCCGGTGCCTCGTCACGGGAAAGAGCGCGCCGCCCATGTACAGCGAAGACGCGACATGCGTCCGAGTACGTCCCTACGCGCTGGAGGCGAGCCCCGGGACACTCTTTGTGCGCAATCTTCGTCGGCCCTGCTCAGAAAGAATGCGAAGTTCCGCTGTTGCGGTAATTTCACGTGCTTCTCCAACAAATCTCCCGTGCACCTTTGCGGGTTCATCCTCGGGGCAATGTACGTCACTGAACCTCACGAATCTAATGTCTGACTGCTCTTGTCTGGTTGCGCAGGAGTTGACGGAACCTCTTTCATGTCTTGGTCGTCACGAGCGTATTGTAGACTACGTACGCCGACCACGGTTGATCCTTGGAAGTCATTCTGACAACCCTCAACGCTTTCAGACATCTTGAGACATCATACTGCGAGGAACTATTGAATGCGCCCCGCCGATGAGAGTGTTCGTGGCACGATCCTGCTGCGTAATTCCTTCCAGGGCATCACAGACTCCTGGGGCATTCTGCCGACAATTGCACTGAACCCACCCATCTGGCGATCAGTGCGTTGTTTGCTCCCTTCTCAATCCTAGCCGGAATGCTTCCCCCCGACTCGATCGCCAACTTCTCCGCATTTGCTACCAGCGCAGCGCAGAACACACACCCCTGCTTCGCCTGCGAAACGGGGGCAAACAGAAACTCATTTGCAACTGACCCCGCGCGAAGAGTCCATGTTCATGATGTTTCATGCAAAGTCTCACGGCAGAAGGCCAGAACAGTTGTGCAATAATCTGCGACGCAAACATGCAAGCAAATAAAGTACCAGCGCGCACGAGTGTCCAGCGCCAGGAACCCAGAGTGCTTCGCAAAAATTGCAGAGAAGACGGCGCTCCCTTTGCATCAGGCGTTTTGATGTCCTCATTCCCCACATAGAACTCCAGAGCGGGAACTAGTCCACGTCTCCTTTCTTGCACCAGCAACAACAGGCAAAGTTACTAAGTTGCAGCAAGAACAGCCGAGGCAACCGCGGCCAGAACCACAACCCCAACCAGCAACAAGCGCCGCAGCAGCAGCAGCAGCAGCGACAACAACAGCAGCAGCGCTCCAACTGTGTTAACAAGAACAAGGGCGACAAGAAGAACAGCACGAGCGACGTCATCAACACCAAGCGCAACAGCAACGCCAGCGACAGAAAGCAACAGTCAGCAACATTTGCCCCACTCCCACTACCACCACCACCGCCGCCCCAAAAACAGCAATAGCAAAACAGGAGCAGCGACGAAGGCAGCTAGCAACCGCAGTGACAGCATGCGCAACAGCGACAGCAGCAATAGCAATAACAACCACCACGCCCGCAACAACGCATGCAACCATGACAACTATGAAAGCGACAGATGGAAGTGGCGTGACTGAGAAACCGCAGTTTCCACCGCAGAACAATTTTCGCGCAAGGTTGGAAGACGCGGGCAGCTTAGCGGCATTGGCGTTTGGCTCTTTGTGTGAACTGTAGCGTCTGTTTTCGGGTGCTGTTGCCAGCCACGTGAGTGCCGCAACAGCTAAAGAAGTCTGACCGAGTTTTTTCATGGCTGTTGTCTCTACACAGCAGCCAAACTGAAGAAGCAGACAGAGCGCAGGCGCAAACGAGCAAGCAAACAAAGGTGACAGCTGCAGACAAGCAAGCGAACGGCCGCGGTGCGAGAAAACTGCTTCCTGAAATGGGAACTGTTCACGGTTTGTCCAAAGTCGCGCAACAACATGACCCTTTCCAGCAGTGGCCAGTAAGCTTGCTGCCAGCAACATCGTTTGGATCGAGTGTTTCTCGCAGCAGCAGCAGCAGCAGCAGCACTAGCTGCCCAGTAGAAGGGCCCACTGACCTCTGTCTTCTATTGATGGCGCAACTTGCTCAGAGTCTACAAAAACAAAAAATCTGCCGAGGGCGGCTTGAAGCTTCATCGTGAAGTCAAACTTTACGCGGTGCTGACCTTGTGCTTGCAAAGCGCGCGGGGCGCGCCTGGGGCGCGCAGCGCTGCGGCCAGCCAACGCTCGACTCAAAGCCAACCCCCGAACTTAAAGAAATTCCTTTCATGGCGACAGGATAAGAGCGCGCAGGGCATCGTGCCCAGTTTGCGAGCCCTTGGCAGCGCAGAGAGGGAGAGCTCGTCGCATCTTGGGAGGCGCTGACGGTGGGAAGCGCTGGTGGTTTTGGCGGAGGTTGTTGCTGGAGAGAAAGGTCCAGCCTAGGAACACACAGCGTAATCAACGTTCTTCACCAGAAACAAACTGCGGCGGCCAAAAAACATTTTCTGAATGACCAGCCAATTTTGCAGGCGAGAAGTTCTGCTTCGCCTTGGGTTCGTAAGGTGTTTCAATTAGCGTTTGGTCATGGACGCAACCTGCGTAATCCCACTAGTTGCTCCTTGTTTTGCCACCGCACGAACAATAGGGGGGGCAACATTTGCTGAGGGCAGTTCCCTGAAAGTAGACCCTTGAAATGTAGAAAGTAAAGGCACCAGTTGGTCGGGCGGAGCCGACCTACTTGAGCCGCACACGCGCAGCGTGCTGATGTTGTGTCTCCTGTCGTGGCAAAGCCACCCAGTGCAAAGCTTTAGTTGGAGAATCCTCCAAGCCCCCTAAACCCTAAACCCTAAACCTTCAACATGTTTCTTTCAGTTGTTTTGTCGCGAGCTGAACAGCTGGATTGGTTCAGCGCGACTTCTTGCGAGGACACGTCAATATCCATTCCTGGCAGTCGCCTCATCGCAGTTTTTGTCCCCATGGGCGGTGACAAAACGCAGGCATTTCTCTGCAATTGCAAGCTGGACTCGCTTTTTCTTGGATCTTTTTGCAAGTGTTCAAGCGGGCTTGTTTGGGCCAGACAACCGTTTTGAAATAGCTTCGAGCTGCCAAACGCCAAGTAGTGCACGTTGCTGTTAGCAAAAGGCTAGAGAGGCGCTCTTGGAAACTTTGTTGAACTTGATTGTTTGCCGCAGGATTCTTGCCTCATTCTCATGTATTTAGGCTCAAGATGGGTTACTTGCTGTCCTGAGTAGGACAGATGGGTTGGATTACAGGAGGAAAACAGATGACCGAGAAGATGCTTTTGTTCTTGGATGTACGCTTGGTCAAGAAGGGGGGCGCAGGTCAAGCAGCATAGTCATGCTCATCACTGCCGCGTGGAAAGGAATACCCTCATGCTTGGCAATGTTTGCAAAGAAGTCTGAGTCTGCCTGAGTAGCTAATTTTCCACCGTGAGAGAACCCTGCAAGGTGATACTCCCATCCAGGACCCCTTACAAGTGTGATTTGTAGTTGGAGTCCAGCAATACACCAAACCCGAACACACTCACTAATAGGCTGCAAGAAGCCTGCCCCCATGGCCCCGCAATTTTATCAAAGAACTTCTGATGGTTTCAGGGAGGATTCTTTCACCGGGTCCAAGCTACCCAGCAAACCTGCTGCAGACTCCACGGCAGCGAGCGCTTGAAACACGCAAGGCCACCTTTCGAATCACTCCAGGATCCGGACAAGTGGCGTACGCCTTGCTGCTAGGAGCCATGTATTGCGGCTGCCTGCAGGGCTTGTGCCAATGGGCAGCCTGACGCTCAGAAAACATTTCTTTGGTGGATGGAGCAACGGAGGCCAAACATAAGTATATAACACACATGCTCACTAATCCTCACACTTTTGCAAAGAAAGCATTTTCACGTGCGCTTGGTGTTTTTGAAAGCGCGCTACCCCAGACTATCCTGCTTGCAGGAGTAGATTAGATTGTGCAACATGCTGCCTGTTTCGAAAACGATTGGTGGTCAATTCACAACTGTAGTTCGTGCTCAGGATGGTTGCTTGGTTGCTTGAAATACGTCTTCAAGGAACTGAAAGCGTATCATGAACTGCCCGCGTAACCAGGTATTGTGACCTGTGGCTCGTTTGGCATCAGCCTTCCTCTGCTCTAGTCATGTTTGCAGATCAACCGCGTGTCTCGGTTATGACTTGGAATTTTGACAAGTGCCTTGCACAAGTTCTGTTTCGGAAATGAGTTTGGTGTGCAACTTTTGGTGTGATTCTTTTGGCATTCCCTTGTCCTGGTTGTTTTCGGCGCCCTGATTGTCTGTCAATGATCTCTAAAGGTTGCTTTCTTCACGAGGTTTGCGCGCGTCTCCCATGCTTACACCCAAGAATTGCCCAGGGGCAGAGGGCGGCCCCTGCGCCGTTGTACATTGAAGGACGAGATGGTTGGAGAGGGTTTGATTGCCTAAGAACTTGTTGACTTTGTGTCTACAGTTTGGTCCACGCTTTGTCAGGGTTCCAGAAGTTTAACCTGCTGCAAGTCTTCAGGCCTTTGGGCAAGTGAGGCTTGCAAATAAAGGGCTTGGCGTTGTTTTTCTACTTGTCTGAAGCATTTAGACGGTTCCGGATTTATCTGCAAGGCATTGCGCGCTGCAGGCTCATTTTGTTGTCACACCCATTCAGCATTCCTTTTTCCCACGAGTGGCAATCGGATTCTGAATGATGAAAGAGGACTTGCAGCGAGCTCTGCGCCAGATTATGTGGTGCCACCCAACATGTGGCGCTCCCAGCAAGGCATCAGTCTTGGCTGAGTTTTGAGGGAGACACGAGCCTTGAGTGACATGTGCCACACGCGGGTAATGATATTGACATCTTGTTTGTGCCGCGAAGTCGGGAAGCTGGCCACGCACGCGGGTGCGACAGAATGCAAAGGTTCCGTGGGCTTACCAAATTGAGGCTTGTGTTGTTGCGAAGTGCCAAGGTGTTGCACAGCACTTGGTGCTGGGGCGCCCAAAGGTCTTTGCAGCTGCCCCGGTTGCAACGCCGGCGTGTAGTTTGGCCAGGCTAAATTGTTTAGCTGCCGAAAGTGGGCTCAGGTCGGCTCACCGTCCAGGGCGACTTGCTGCTCCTAGGCGCCCGAATCGAGTTGTCCCAACACTTGGGAAACCCGTGCTGTTTGGTTTTTGGAGGTGCCAAGCAGCTCCAGGACTGGCTTAGAAATGAAGCTGGTAGAAACAACAAACAAACAAACAAGGGTGGGGCCTTGTGTTGGCAGCGCGTAGGCGAGGCCCAGGCACGGAGGTCAGGACGAGAGTCCAGTGTCCAACGCTTACCTTGTTTACCGCGGATCACACATCTTAGCCTAAACATGCCGGCCGAAGTCTCTGCCAGTTGGCCCCGTGACAACCGAGTATGAAAGCCACTGTCAACTCTGGCAGTCCAGTTGGAGCGCGGGTCACAACGCGCTGTGGCGCGAACCCGAGCCCTCGGGGCTGCAAAGGACTGTGTCTTGCCAGGATTCGTCCGCAGCATGGTTTTCACATGATGCCGCTCAGCTTGTCGAGAAAGGCCGCAGGCTTCAAGCCTCCTGCCTGCGCATTCATAGAAACTTCATGGACAATTCATGCCGGCGCACTCTTCAGCTTTGTTCTAGCTCTTTGGTAGTAGCAGGTCGCAGGTCGCAGCTGCCCGCGCGCCGCCCAGTTGGTCATTGGCCCCAATGATGCGGCATCGGAGTTTTCGGACAGAAGCCCTCCCGCACAAAAAACAAAGTGCTTCTGAACAATTGGAGATGGTTGCGGTAGCAGCTTCTTGCAACGGTTCTTGGGCCATCCCCAACTTCTTCTCCTCCATCCAGAAATGACCCGCCGCATAGAATGGATTTGCAAGGGGCTTCCAGGAGGTGTCAAACGAGGCTCGCCGCTGGTCCACTCCGAACTTGCACTTGGCGCTTTGGAGCGACGAAACCTGCCAAACGTTGTTCGCCATGGTCCAGCTAGCGGGCGCTCGGGAAACCTCCGGTAGACCAGAGTGTCGCACCAACTTGTGCCCCCCTTTACCACGCTCTGCGCGTAGCAGAATGTGGAGCTCTTTCCGTTACCTCGGCCCCTGGCACAAGGTGGGCAAGAGACGGCTTGCGCTTATGCTTCGTGCGTGTGATGGTGCGGGGACGGATTCCGTCTGACCTCAGAGCTGTGCGCCTGGCCAACTTGTCCTCAAGTCCAATCCAGCGTTCGCGCAGGGACAGCCCCAGACGCAACCTGGCAGGCAGGAGATAACTGCTCACGTCTGCGCCGAACTGTCCTTGCCATCATCCGTGAACAAGTCCTTACCGGCACAGTTCCTGTCAAGGTCCGTGGGCGGAAACACTGTCTCTTTTCTGGCGGCGCAAGGAGAAACAATGATTGTGGGGGGGAAAGCTGCACAGGACCCGGTCGGCTGCCCTGAAGGCGCTCGGGGCGGCTGCCACGAGCGCTGTGTCCCCTGAGATGCCACGGGCAACTCCTCCGATGGAATACGGCGGGACCTCACGGACTCTGACTTCCGGAAAACGCACTGCCTACCCTGCCAGGTTTTCGTGGTCTTCTTCTAGACTTTTTCAGCGACTCCTTCCCAATCGCCCTTGCAGATGCTAATCCTTGATGCGGGCGAGGATGACGGTAGCTCAGGAGCCAGAAGCAGCCGTCCCATCCAGACGTACTACGGTGTCCGGCTCCATGGCCAATCACGGAGGAAACTGCGCGAAAAAATATCTCCGCACTGCGTTCTTCGCAAGCTCGTTCCCCGAACACAATGCTCTCTTGAGCCAGAAATGGTGCTGCTAATTCATGGTGGACTAGCCCCACGCAGGCTCTCAGTGTGGTGGCGCATAGTTTTGCTGATTCAGCTAGCTCAGATTCATGCCTGGCTCTCGCTTTGACTCTTCTACTTCGTTTGGCCGGAGTTTCACAATCCTTCGGTGAACATCCGGTCCAGCAGAGATGCGCTCAGAGGCCCGGACCCTTTTGTTTCTTTTGTGGCCACGGTCGTTGAGATTGAACTTCATTGGCTCGGGCGCCTGCGCGCCTTTCCTTTGGTGGCAGTGGCATTTCGTGCTGCGGCAACATCTGCTCTGCCCTGGGCACGCATCATTTGCTTTGGCTGCAGCTGCCTGGGTGTTGTCCAGCCGTCTGACACGCCAGCGTCTCTTGCCGGCCATGCGTGCTGATCTTGGGGAGCATTGAAGCCGTGGTTGCCCCGGCGTTTGTTTTTGAAAGTCAAACAAATCTGGCCAGACAACCTTCAACGCAGAAGTGTCTGAATATGTTTGCGTGTGGATGTGGGGAGTTCTATGCACTCTCTATGTGGTTCCTTTGCGTTTCTTGCGCAATTCCTATGCACTTTTGAAAGTGCAAAGAAAATACATAAATATGCATAGAGTCTTAAAGTGCAAAAGAAGTGCATAAAAAGTACATAGACAACGCGAAGAAAATGCAGAACACATGCAGAAAATATGGAAAGTGCATAGAACATTGCTAGGCCATTCAATCGAGCGTCGTAGAAAAGTAGTTCGCACACATCCAACTCTGCTTGCGCCAGCTGGTAGTCTAAACCTGTTAATCAAACGGCGTGGTGTTTCGCAGCCTAGCGGTTTTGTCTGAGCACTGTAGCTGAAGGGCCTTGGCACGTGTTTGTTGCCTTGTGCGATGTCTGACGATTGGACTGTAGCCGGGGTGCTCTGGGCTGTTGTTGTCTTGCTTAAGCTTTGGGCGGTCCACCGCAATCTCCTTGTCACTGGTGAATGCCGGCTGGTTTGCTTCGCTAACCTCTGTCTAGCTTGCCTTTGGCGACAAGATGGCTTCAGTCAGCGCGCTGCAGCCCTTGAGTTTTTTGGGTCGCTCGGAACCTCCTAGCCATCTCACCCACATCCTGACACGGTGGACTGGCTCCTCTTCGATGATCTATGCTGGCGCTGACTTGGGGGGGGGGTTCCGTGTCCAGCATTTTGGCTGTCCTAGCTCCACGGGCTCTCGGACACGGCGGATCCTCGGGCTCTTGTTTTTCTTGGACTGAGGTGTGAGAATACTTGCGCGATTGTCGATTGTGTCCTCTGCACTGTGCCAGGACATCGGACAAAGCCGAACAAACGACACCAGTGCAACGGTGCAACAGTCCCATCAAACCCAAACTAAACGCATTACAACTTCATTAGATCAGGTGGCGCTTGTACTTTTGGCTGGCGCGCGCATGGCACGTGCCAGGCTCAAAGGAAACTGGCAGCGTGCTTTGCGCACGCCTGCTCGCCGCAGCAGGGGGGCCCGCAGCATCAAATGACTTGCGCGCTCTTTGTGCGGGTGCCGCAAAATCAGTTCATTTTGTAGAGGCTGCTTGTGAATTAACTGTTTGTAGAGAACAGCTTGGTAACTTTGTCGTTTTGCAGAGCTGTTTGGCTTTTGTCATGGGTACCAACTCCCCTTCGCTATGTGGCGTTGGTACAGCCCCCGCCCTTAGCCAACCCCCCCCCCCCGCTGCGCCCCCTGATTAGATCCACGGTCTCGTCTCCCAAAGAAAAGGCGCCCATTTTTTGTTTTCCGGAGCCCCCGCCCCCCCAATTAATCATTGATTTGGGGGAGGGGGTTCAAAAATGTGCGTTACATTTTTGGGGCTGAACTCTGGTCTTCGGGCATGGGACGGGGCCAAACATGCGCTAAGCCCGTTGCCAGGCCCGAACAGGCTTTGAACAACATTGCAGGCTAGTTTGTCAGCCCACAGTTGCCACACGAATCCGTCTCGCCAAGCCGACTTCTTGCGGGCCTTAGGGCCGCTGGCCCTAAGCGCGGCAAGCTAAAGGGCGTAAGCAGCAATCCGCTGAAAAGTCGAGCTTTGGCTGTTTGGGCCGCAGGGCGGTTGAATCTTGCAGACTTCGCTCGCAGCGCTTAGGGCCGGTCTGCAGTCCGCGCCGCGCGCAAACGGTAGCTTGCCGCGCAGCTGGCCGCGCTTGGGGCCAGCGGCCCTCAGGCCCGCAAGAACCTGGAACACAGTGTTGGCAATGATGGTTGGGGCTAGGCTTGGGGAACTCAACAGTTTGTTGGTCTACTTCTCCCCCCAAAGCATAGTAAAGGCAAGAGAGAGCATCAAGTTGTGCAATTCCGAAGCAGACTGGGAGGGGGGTCGGCAGATTGCCCGGGGAATCTTCCAAAGAGAGATGTCCGGAAGACTGAGGTTCTGCTTGAGCCTGCCAAAAAGCTTTACATTGTTATTTAGGTTCAGGGTTGAGTTTCCAAGTACCTTTTTCTTAAGCCAATCATTCTGCTCAATTCAACAACGAAATTTCTGAAAAATCGGAACAGCTTTCCTTTTTATTTCAAAAGAGCTACCGGTTTTGACATTTGCAAGGCAGACATGTTTTGGGCTTTATGGGGGTTAGACGGTTTAACCATACTGTAACCTCATAGTAGTCATAATACCAAGCTTAGCCACAATCACTACCATTATCAGGACCACGATAATTAAACCAACCAAGAATCAACCTCTGCTTCTCTAACAGACGACAGACGAATTTAGGATAAAACGTATTATCGAACATGTTATGTTGTAAACGGCCTTGTCATTGTTTTTTGTTTTGCAACTGCAACGCCTTCACAAAATCCCCACCCATCATAGCACGAAAACTCTTACAAGATATATTCGCATCATCGTTACCAGAACGCAAAGCAATGAAACTTACAAGCGCTATCACAAACCAAAGTACCACTACCTACTACTTTTCTTCATTTCTTTTCATTGGACATTTATTCAACCTCGTCAGACACCATGTCCGCCTATCCGTTTCGTCTAGTTGTTCAGGTTCGTTTTCTTTTTCAGTATTACACAACTTGCGGCGAGACTCAAAACATCATCAAACATTATCAATGACACCGTTGGGTAATATACTACCTACTTTTTAACGTTGTTCTTCCCAAACAGTGTGCTAACACTAAGTGGTTTTTACGGTAAGAGCAAAGGCCCGATCCTAGAGTGGGGTGCTCGGGCTGACCCCAAGCGTTTTGCGTGGTATTCACGTACACTCGTGACGCCATAAAATCTGGAAATGCATATTTGGTGTCTTTCAAGGAAGGGTGTGCGCTTGCTGCGGCGCCGCGCAAATTCCGAAGGCGGTTGACTGGTGAACCTTCTGCGGACTTGGGGGGTGTTGGGTCGCTTTCGCTGTGGCACGGTGCGAACTTCTGACATCGAAGCGTGTTTGGAACATGGAAAGTGAGCCTTCTGCGAGCTCGCTCTCGCTGGAGCATCGAAAGTGAACCCTCTGCGGGTGGGTCGGATCCCGGCGCAAATTTTGAACGTCGAAAGTGAACCTTCTGCGGGCGGGTCGGATCGCGCTCGTTGCGGCGCTGTGCAAATTTGTAACATCGAAAGTCAGCCTTCTGCGCACCTTGGGTGGATCAGATCTGCGAACTTTGAACATCGAAAGTGAACCCTTTGTGCGCTTTGAGTGGGTTGGCTCGCTCTCGTTGTAGCGCGGCGCGAATATTGAACATGGAAGACTGAAAGCCGGTTTCCAAAAGTGATGTTGCAAAGATTTTGAGCAAGAGATCGCGCGCAAAGATTTGCAGACAGACTTGCCAAGAAATCGCTGTGGCTCGGCGCGAGTGTGCAGAACCGCACGTGACCCTATGCGGCCTTTGGGCGGGCGCAGTGCTCTAAAGTGCTACCTAGTCAAAGGAACCTTGCGCGCGTCGTGCCACTGTATATCTTCTGTTGTCTAGACATTCTTGTTGTTCTGTGTAATCTTGGAACATGTTTGGCCGACCACAGAACGGCTGAGGGTTGGGTTCACGACAGAGAGCAGTGTTACTTCCTGCGATAATTTTCACATGTTACGAAGTATAATTTTGATAGTAAGTGCACTCGGGCAGATTTGGATTTGGTTGAACTTCTGGCTCCTGAGCCATGGCAGCAGTGACCTTGAAGGCGCTGCTGGGGGCTGCGCGTGCGGACGTTCGACAGGACCTTGGGCATCTCGGGTTGCATGTGTTGAGAGGCCTTGCAGGTGCGCAGGCAAGCGCCTTCTGAGAAGGTTCATCTTCCAATCGGCAGGGCTTGCGGGAAGCGTGCAAGAAGGCAGGGATTGCGAGGAGGCAAGGCGGCAAACACTTGAGCGATGAGGAGTTGCAAGCGCTGTTGAAGGCCAAGCTTGTGGCCGTGTTGCCGCCGGTTTCATTTCGGGCGTTGCTGGAGCAAGGTGCGTTGCCAGAGGTGTGCCGGCAAGGGAAGCAGGGAGGGCCAAGGAACTCGTTTGCGCCTTGGGGTCCGCTCAGCGATCCGAATTGCGTGGTGCCTGCATTCGGTTTTTGAAGGAATCCACAGGCAAGTTATTGAGAGGGTGGCGACGGGCACGCTGCGGTTTCGCGCGTTTCTGCAGAAACAGGCGCAACGAGGAGACGAATCTTTAGCGGGTGCGTTGTTGGTCGCTTCATCGTCAACAGGTACGGGCCCTTGGAGATTGAGGCTCGAGGGCACTTGCCGGCCCAACGAGCCCATAGATGTGTTCTTGGTTTGCGGCGTGGCTGCTCATCAAAGCAATCCTGAGCAGCAAGACCGTCTACCAGCACGCGGGAGGCCGCCGCATGCGAGCCCTTTGCGGAGGATGGGCCTTCTCTAGGAGCCTGGGAACGATGGAGAGCATCTATGCCTACTTTCCCAGGTTTGAACCCAGGCAGCATTTCTGCAACGGCGGCAGAATCAGCCAGACACTGTGTGGAGCTGAGGAAGAGCTCAAGTACTACAAGACTGCGGAGGTAGATGGGCAAACCAGAGCAGACGTGACAGCCGTCGAAGCAGAGGTGGCGGCAATTCGCCGGGACGCATCGTTGCTGCCCTCGTCGGCGTTCGCTGGTGGCAAAGGTGGAAGGGCGGAAAAGGCGGCGATGGCGGCGGACAGGAATCCTCAAGGACGAGATGGCAATCCGCTGACGTGCGCCAAGTGCGGCAGCAAATTTCACCTATGGCGTCGATGCGCGCCAGCTGATCCTCCCAGATGGCGACCTCATCCGTTTCATGATGGAGCTGGAAATCGACTTGGTGTGGCTTTCATGACCCAAGAGGTGGCGGCGAGGCCAACAGCTTCGGTGGCCTCAGGCGGTGGAGTGGACCGCGAAGAGCGAGCTGCAAGACGACACCCAGAGCATGAGCAAGGTGTTGTTCAAGGAATTGGAGCAATTGCGGAGTGTGTCGACAGCCCATGCCTACAAGCAGCATGGTGCCGCAGGTGTGTGCCTGAAGCACAACCGCCAATGCGTCCCCCACAAGGTCGCACGGGGACGACTCATGAGAAGTGATTGCGACCGCAGACTGTGGGTGGCATCAGCTGGAGCTCATCTTATCACCCCACAACAGCCAAAGGTAAAGAGCTTTCCCGGACCTGGTGGAAGTGGGAGTTTCCCGTGGTGGGAGATTGAGAATGAGATCGTTTGTCGCGAGATGCTCTGTCAGCTCTTGGTCTTCCCACTTGGCTCTATGTGTTTCCACGTGTTTCCTCACGCGTTCGCTGCCCCACGCCCTCCGATTCCCACGCTTCACGCGCTCATGTTGCCTCACACGTTGCGGAATGATTGCTGTCGCGAGCTTGCATGGCTCGGTCACACCTGAGTGGGAGGGCACCTATCACTTGAAGACCAGATGGGAAGGAAATCGAGTTGGCCTGCACGTGACAATTTGATCAGAGCTCTTACGCTCAACAAGCTCACCCTGCAGGTCGGCCAAGAGCGCCCCCTCACCAGAAAGGTCACCATTGAAATTGAAGGGGTGGGTTATGGAGCGCAGGCGGCACAGGTGCCAATCTGGATGACAGACAAGGGTGGACGAGTTGCGTACGGCCTAATTCTGAACCTACTCAGACATCGGAGCCTGATGGCAAAGTCAGCGGTGCTCGACATTGGCGCCAAGCGGCTGATCATCCCTGGAGAAGGGGCTTTGAGTACAAGCCAGACCTGGCACCGTCGTCTTGCCAGCAAATGTTTTCGCTGGGACGCAGGCAGGCTTGGGATGAGCGGCGCGCTAGATCAACACAATTTGATGCTTGGCAGTATTGCTAAGGCATAGTGCTGAGGCCATGGCTCTTCTGTGCACAGAGGAAAGGTATTTGCTGTTTGTCAAGTCAATCAGAGTCCACCAGTGTCCCATTGTTGTGCCTCCTGACCGATGGCCGACCCGTGTAACTTTCCAATATCTAACAAGGCTGAAAACTATGGCGGGCAACATGGGTCATCGCCTCCACACGCAGTGTGCGTATGGCCACCCATCGCATGA